CTTCCAACGAGAAGTCACACAGGTAACTTCTAGAGGTGAGGTGGTTCAGAGCAAATCCTAAAGCGTACCTGACGTCACCGTGGGAGTCCCTCAGAAGGATGCTTAGCAGTCATGCCTGCCGTAAACAGTCGTCATGGAAACTGCAAGCTGCTTACTGTGGAGGGGGTCATTGGTCAGTAACTATCACCCAAACTAAGACTGCATCACTGCCATGCTCATGGGACCTCTGATGACCAACCATCACAACTGGCTAGCTTCCCTGATCTTAAAGGAGACAAGGTCATGTGATCCTAACCAGAGGCTCACAGAATAGATTCTTATGTAGAACGCTGTCACCAGCTGCTGTGTGGCAGTTTCTCCTTACGGACTTCTAAACTTGGAAGAACTCAGAGAACAGCCAAGAGCTCACAGGATACAGCGGAAGAACAGGCAGGCGCTTCTAAAACACACGTGCACAACACGTGGGCCTTACCCCACAAGTCGGGGTGGGGACCGGATTGAAATGATTGCAGAGGAGAGAACAGCTAGATCAATGTAGACTCTGCACGTTACGTGTGCATCTTAATATTTATAGAGTAATTACTCTAAAAGTATAGAAAAAAATGATTATCAAACCATGTGGTGTGAGGAGGGGGAAGAAAAAGGGAGAAAATACAAAGTGGGATGAGCAGACATTTTAAACACTAGAAATAAATTCAGGTATATATCACTGATTAAAGATAAAAGCAAATGGACTAAATGCTCCAGTTAATAAAAAGCCATAAGCCATTTACAGCATAACACACCTAAAGCACAAGGATACAGAATCGTTAAACCACAAGGTGGAAATGATAGCCCAGCTAAATGCTATGCCAACGAGAGCAGGCGTGGTTGAATTAACGCCAGGCACCTCAGACCTTCTTTTAAAAAGGCTTCCTGGGTTAGTTCTAAGCTTACATGGTGATAAACTATGTGAAGAAAAAAATAGAACCACAGGGAGAAATAGACAAATCTATCATAATAATGAAAAACATTTCGCCTTATCTTTTCATTATTTGGGAACTCAAGCAGAAAAACCATCCACGCCAGGCACGTAGAAGGTTTAAAGACCCAGCCAGGGACCACGGCACAGCACGGTCACTAAACCAGAAGAGCACATTTCCTCGATATTTGGTGATTGACTAGCTGGGAAGAAAAGATGACCCTATGCAATTAAGTTAGAAATCAATAATGAAAAGAAAACTAGAAAAGTCTTATATCTTTGCGAATTAATAGCCATATGTCTAAGTATTTTCTAAGTGAAATGAGAGACGGCCAAGGCCCTGGAATGCGTTCTGAAGTGAGGGTGGTGGAGATTCTGCACCGGGACACTTGCTGGACGTGGCTAGAGCGTCGTGTACGTGGACAGATATTTCTCATCCTCACTGGTCTCAGAAGAGAGGGTGGCGGTTGGTGATGCCAGCTTCTTAGGTGTCATCCTGTTGAGATGAAAATGAACGCACTAGCTCGAGGTGACAGTAAAGTCACAGAAAGGAGAGTGAAGGGGAGAATAATATAGACGCCAAAAGCCAGTCAACAGAGAGGCGTGAGAACTTCATAGCTGAAAGGTGTACACGTGTATGAAAACCATTTTCAAAGATTTACACAAATGGGGAAAATATCCGTTTTATGGGTCAAAAGACTAGGAAAGCTGAAATGTCGCTTCTCCATGAATTGATCTACAGGACAACTGAACAGAAGTCTCTGTTGGTTGCTTTGGTTTGTCTGTCTGTGGAGTGTGACCTACTGACTCAAGGATATGAGGGACAGAGGGGCCATTGGGTGGAATCTCTTGACTAAGGACAAGTCGGGGACGTGGCCCCGTGGAAAGACTGTGTCACTAGCCCGAATGGCGGTGTGCAGGCCGTGGAACTGCATGGAGAACCGGGAAACAAACCCACGCAGCTCTGACAGAGGTGCGAAGAGCCAGCCGGCTTCTCTTTCGTTCTGGTTTTGAGACGGGAGGTGTGAAACGCTGACCATCCACGCAGACAGCCTTCCTCTGGAGCCCTCTCTCACCTCACAGAGATGCTTCCTTCCCGGTGGATTAAAGACGGCGCCGTGCCCGTGCGGTGGAGGAGTATTTTAACAATATTCCTGACGTCAGGGTCGGGAGGGTTTCTTCAACAAGACGTGTTAAAGCGCCACACACGGGGAAACACAGGAGTCCCGTCCCAGCCGGGAGAATGAATACCTTGTAGTGTAATCAGACAGAAGTACAGCCCAGCAGGGAAGACTGCTGAGCCTTGGGAATAGGTTGGACACACATACTCTGTGGTCTCATTTATGGGAGTTCAAACGTCCATCAAAATGCGATATTGTGTAGGGGCGTCATTTTGTGTGGCAAACTTGTAGTGCAAAACAAGCGATTGATAAAAATAAAATGCAGGAGAGTAATGATCGCTCCTGGAACGAGGGGGGACAGACAGGTTGTGGCAAGATTATGTCTTTTGTGTAAGGGGCGGTGGCTGAAAGAGTGTTCCTTCTCGTTATCACTTGCGTTTGCTTTACAAAGGGCCCTTTTTATGTACATGAAGTGAATAAGTATGCAGGATGCCGATTTGTTGGAATTGGCCTTACTGAGCTGGTAGGTGAAACTTTGTAGCATAGTCAGGGGCAAAGCAGTGACACATAAACTTGGAAATGACCTCAGGAGTTGGGGTTTGAAGTGACATTCAGTCGCAAGTGTTAATGAATTCTGGATCAGAAATTATCGCCATGGAAATTGTGGTTGAGGATGATAAAACTAGATCGATCCATCATCTATCTATCTATCTATCTATCTATCTATCTATCTATCTATCTATCTTCTGTCTCCCTACCTACCTATCATCCATCTGAAATCAATTTGCTGAAATAAGATGAGAAAGAGAGAGGCAGGGAGGTTATTAAAAATC